GGGACCCCATCTGCCCAGCTTTTCTGGGGAAAGATTGAATCAGCTTTGCTGTCAACGCGGAGAAATGCTTGCGTGTGGAGAAAAACACTCTGTTAGATAAACCTCCCATTAGGTGAGGGTAGGCCCTGTGTGGAAGTGCGGGGAATGCCTGTGTATGATTAGAATACAAGGGGACAGATTTACTGGGCTCTTCGGGGTTCTCCCCCTAAACTTCCTGATTCAGTGTGCAATGCAGGCGCAGGTACAACGCTACATGCTGTTTCGCAGTGAGACCAGCAGATTTAATGATTCTCTGCTCCTGGGGCATAATTCTCTGGTAACAGCGAGAATTCCAAGCCTGCAGGCACCTCTTTGTCTTCCCCAGGACACACACAAACACACACACACACACACACACACACACACACACACCTTTCTTAAGGTGGATTGTTGGTTATTGGCGGTGTGTTGGTGTGTGCTTTTTTTGTTTGTTTGATTTGATTTAGTATTATTATAGTCTCCAAAAGTGAGGGGGGGAAAAAAGAGAAAAGCAAGTGTGGAAGTACAAATGAGTTGGAGAAAAGTATTAAGTAGGCCCTTGGTTGGCAAACTGTGGCTCACGAGCCACATGCAGCTCTTTGGCCCCTTGAGAGTGGCTCTTCCACAAAATACCATGGTCTGGGCGAGTCTATTTTGAAGAAGTGGTGTTAGAAGAAGTTTAAGTTTAAAAAATTTGGCTCTCGAAAAAAATTTCAATCGTTGTACTGTTGAGATTTGGCTCTGTTGACTAATGAGTTTGCCGACCACTGAACTAGACCCTTTGCTTGCTAGAAATGCTGTAAATTTTACTTGTTGGCAGGAGGCTGAACACTGAAATGGGCTTTGGTGTTCAGCTGGCTGGCTCTGAGGCCCAGCCGGCTGCCTGGGCGTGGGGGTGGTGATGGGGGGTGCTTTGTGTGGTGCTTCACCCCGTCTCCGTCCCTGCTGCCTGCACTGATCCGCTGAGGGCACCGGGCCGGCTCTTTCCCAGGCACCGTCAGGGTCTGGGGGGAGTCCTGGACTGGGAGCCTCAAAGGACATTAAATGCTTCTTGTTTTCTGAGTTCACATCACCCTAATTCATCCCCCGGCCCTGTGCCAAGTTTACCAAAGGGACATCTATAGAAAAACTTTCCGACAAAATCGCCTTTAGCTGTACAACGTGATGATTTGATGCACATTGTGAAATGATTACCGCAGTGAAGTTAATGAGCACCTCCCTCGCCTCACGTAGTTACCTTTATCTTGTGGTGAGAACACGTGAAATCTGCTCGTTTAGCAAATTTCAAGTACATAATACAGTATTATTATTAACTGTAATCACCACGCCATGCATCAGATCTCCAGAGCTTACTTATCTTACAACTGAGAGTTTGTGTCCTCTGAGCAGCATCTCCCCATCCTCCCTCCTTCCCCCCCAACTCCTGCTGACACTGTTCTGCTCTCGGCTTCCATAATTTTTGACTTTTTAAGAATCCATAAATAAGGAAGATCATACTGTATTTGCCTTTCTCTTTCTGACTTACTTCACTTAAAGTCATGCCCTTGGGTCCATTCAGGTTGTCTCCAATGGCAGGATTTCTTTCTCTTTTGTGGCTGAATAATAATATTCTACACATATATACCAAGAAAACATATATTGCAGTTTAAAAATTCATTCACCTGGGTTGTTTCCATATCTTGGCTATTGTGAATAATGCTGCAGTGAACACAGAAGTGCCAATAGATCTTGGAAATAATGATTTCATTTCCTTAAAATTTATACCCAGGTGTAAGATTGCTCTATTGTATGGGGATTTTGTTGTTAATTTAGAGAACTTCTATACTGCTTCTCCTAGTGATTGCACCAATTTATGTACATTCCCCCCAACAGTGCATAAGGTTTCTTTTTCTCCACATCCTTCCAAAATTTATCTGTGTGAAGTAATAGCTCATTGTGATATTAATTTGCATTTTCCTGATAATTAGCAATGGTGAGCACCTTTTCACCAGTTGGCCATTTGTATGTCTTCTTCAGAAAAATGTGTATTCAAATCCAAGCTGTTTTAGTTCCCAATTTAAAGCAGTTGAAAACGTCCTTCAAGTGACCTCACCCCTTCTGTGTCCTTGAACCAGGCCTTGCTTCCTCATTTGTCTGTGCCTGGAATGAGACAAGATCAGTGACTTTTCAGATGTTTAAAACTCTGGAACCTTTTACCCAATTGTAATTTTGTAAAAATATTTTAATAAAAGCAGTTTTACAAATTAATCCTGTTCTCATTTAGGTATGGATGAGGAACCCAGAGAACTCCTGACCCCACTATATCCCCTCCATCTGTGGCCTGGGGGCCACCTTTAGTCCAGCCCCATGATAGGCTGGCTAAGGCAGGAAGTTACACTGTGTTAAGGCCTGGAAATGAAGGTCAATCCTGAATTCTGGAGACAGCGTATCTTAAAAGTTCTAAGTCAACCAAAATGGCTCAACCCGTCATAAATTTGTGAGCACCAATCATCCTTCTCTTCTATATGCGCTGTTTCTTGTAACCAGAGTACTTTTAGCTTTGCTATTGCATAGTGATGTGCAAATGAATGTGGGTGATGGATTCTGTAAAGCATGCTCACCTCAACATCCCAGAACTATGCCAGGCTCTCTGCCATCCTTTCCGGGTTTCATAAACCCAGACTCTTTGCCCCCCACCTCCCAGCCCGCTAACTCCTCTGCTACATGAACACCATATCAATTTTCTTAACCTCTGTATTGACCACGTCAGCCTCCTTCAAAAATATAGCCTCATTGTTTAAAAGACCAAAACTCAACTCCAGACTCCAACTTGCTGAAATTTCCATGATTATTTTTCTATCAGATCCCATTTTTCACTTCCTTCTAATATACATCCCTTTTCAGTAAGTCATTCTCTCCCAAAGCCTGTGATCATGCTCTTTGCCCATCTCTTTATCTCCTTCCCCCTGTCTTTTTCATAGCTCACCCTTTAAGTCCTTTCATGCTCCCTCATCTCCCTTCTCTGGCAATCAGCAAGGGGGCAGAATGGCGTTGATCAGGGATACAGCACCAATACCACTAACTTGGGGTTCTGCCATGGATTTGCAAGGCACTGTTGGCTAAGCCCCTTTACTTCTATGGGTCACGGTTTCCTCATCTGTAAAATGGAGTTAATAATATAATATATCCCTTGTCTACCTCACTGTGTGGCTGTAGGAATAAAAAAAAAATACTATATGTGAATGCCCTTTTTCTATCTTAAGTACTTTTTATTTTTCAGATCTTGTTCTTAAAAAGGTATTATTGTGAGTTATTATTATTACTTATTGTGTCCTTTAGCACTTGTTTTAATTATGAATAACCCTCTGCCCTATACCTTTCATTATTATATACATTATATCTACTCTCACCAGATATTTAATCTATTCTGGTGATATCTGGGGAAAGTCTCAGCCGGCATGCTTCGTCCTTCTTTTGTGTTTTTAAGAATAAACCTTTTTTCTCCCTGAGGTATTTCATCTACTTGGCCAAACTAAATGTGTGTAGATTTGTTCCTTGCAGATTTGCTTATTTCTGGAAACTTTCCTATCTGGTTTCAGCATAAATACTATACATTATTATATACTACTAGATGCATTTCATAACCAACGCATGAATCTGTGCACTGGTGAGTTCCCTCAGCCTGGCCTGTGCCCTCTTGCAGTTCGGGACTCCTTGGGGGATGTTGGAGGCCCGGTTTACAAATTTGGCCCAATCCCCGCAGGCCAGGCTGAGGGACACCACTGATTAATGAATCCATGCACCAGGCCTCTAGTATGCATATAAGATCTTTGGTTAATCTCTTCCCACCTTCTCTCTGAGACTCATCCATCTGTTCCATGTTTCCATGCCTGTGTGTTAAGTGTCTGTCCCTTGGTGTTCAGTGTACTTCATAGCTAGTGGTCTAACCGTCGCTTAGGCATCTCTCTCTCTCTCTCTCTCTCTCTCTATATATATATATATATATATAGACTAGCTATAAGAATCACTAGATTTTTTTTAGAAAAGTAAAGGCAGTAGATAGAGTTAGTAATGCTTTGTAATTCATTGTCCCCATACCAATGGTCACATGTGTGCCTTCATACATGGACTGCCTTCATCACTGTATTCAAATCTTTTTAGGTCATGGACCGTATCTTTTTAAGTTTTTATTTCTAGTTTCTCACATAGTGAATAGGAGATATTCAGGAATGCTCACTAAATGAGTAAGCAATCTATGCATTTTCTATGTAAAAAGTTGATTTGATTAACATTTTCTCAGCTAAGAAAACCCCCGAAGATAAAGTTGGACTAATGATGCCAAAACATGACACTTCTAATCCAATGCTCAATGTAATTACCCACACAAAAGGAAGCCAAATTCATGGACTGCACTGAGTGGTCAGGCTACAGTCTCGGAATATGGCCAGTTTCCTTGGCAGGTCCCAGTGAACCCAGACACAAAGGAATTCTGTGACGGCTCTCTCACACCCTGCTTCATGAGCTGCCACTGCCAAAATGTGCAGAAAGTTCATCAAAAGCCTAAACAAGGGTGGCAGTATTTTAATATACAAACACTTAGTAGGCTTCATCAAGGCATTAAATTCCGGAGGTTCTGGAATTTTCCTGGAAGGATTTCATAACCAAATCAAGCTGTTAGAACAAATTATTGCTGCTACTGCTGCCGTTTTACTGGTAGAAACTCCTGATTCAAAGTCAGTTTGATGCTTTGCTACTGTATTTCAATCTCTATCTTTTTCTCATACAGACTGGCAACATTTAACTGTTTTGAGTTAATGGTAAAATATGTGCTGAGTACTAGCCAGCCAGTCTTTTCAGCGTTCTCATTTAAGTGTAGTAAGTGATATGCACATTCCCTATGCAAGTATTTTCCTTCTTCTTATTGAATAAATCCATTGTCCCATAAAGTGCTCCTTAAAAGAAAATGCACCTTTAGTTTCACACCTCCTTTCTTCATTCCATAGCAATCAGCAAACACTTGGGCCCCTGCTCTGAGCCAAGCCCACTGCTGGAGACAAAAGACTGCACCTGCCTTCAGGGGCTGTGCAGAGGGAGAGGGAGGCAGCCAGACCCCTCCTTCTGCACCCGCACTCTGCTTCCCCCTGAAGAATCTGATGTTTTGGTCTGAGTGGTGGCCTGGGCTTTGGGGGCACTCAGGTGTTAAAAGCAAGCTTTTCTCAGTGGACCAATGAATGAAATTGAGAAGAACCATTAGGGTCTGATGCTCCAGACTCAACAACCTCACAGTGACCTGGAAACAGAGCAGCGGTGATTGCCATCTGCTGACACACCGCCCAGGCCGCCCAGGGATTGGAGCAGTGTTCTAGGCCAGATAGGCCTCCCACCTGCAGAGCCAGGAAAATATCCCTGATTAGAGCAATTAGAATGACTCCCTGAGCCGGTTCAGAATTTGCTTAAATACACTCACTTCACTGAACTATGGTTTTGGCTTCGGGGGTTTTAAGGAAACAAAACCAACAAAACAAAACAAAAAAGCAAGTTTAGGGAAAGGAAGCAATTATCGAGAGAGAGAATTCAAATTGATTCTCTTCTCTAGTCAGTTTGGAGTTGGCAGAAGAGAAGGCAAATGACATCCATGACCAGGTATAAATGTAAGGAGGCTGATTTTGGAGGATGGGTCCTTTAAGCCTTGTTTGGATGAGAATCCCTGAGATCACAAAAGGAAGCAGCTGGTGAGTTCCGGAAACCTTTTTCTGTGAAAGCACAGAATTTGAATAATGCACTAAATGAAGTGGAGTGCATATATTTAAATATTTATGGACAAATGGCTGTCATTTCTTAGCCTGCTCTGCCATGGTCCCATGGCTTGATACAATTGCTTTTAAATGATCATTTTCTAGATACCAGAGAAGCATCAAACAGAAGGAGATGAGAATTGCAGCAAACCAAACAAAGAAAAAGCAGAGGAGGCGATTATAAACAAAAATACAGCCATCATAGCCAACTATATTTAAGGAGTTTGGAAAACAGTGTAGTGCAGGAAGTAAGATGGATGAGTTTGGAACTGGACTGGAATTTAAATTCTATGTGTGATTTACTAGCTTTGTAGCCTTGGGTAAGTTACTCATCTTCTCCTGAAACCCTAATTCCTCATCTGTTTAGAGGGGATAATAATAGTACCACATTACCAGGGTGTGGTGAGAATTAAATGAATTATTGGTTCTAGGTGCCTGACACCCATAAGCTCTACAAGAGATCTGATACCCAGATCTCCAAGCTTAGGAACTTTTTTTTAGGGACTGAGACTATGGCAGTGAACAAAACGATGCCTGCTGCATGGTTTTTCCGGATATACTGGGTGAATTACTGAATGAATGAGGGTGTTTAGTCCAGTTTGAGTGTATAAATTGGATTATTTTATAAAATAAATTTAAAATGTTCATTCTAAATGAGATAAGGTATAGGGAAAGACATACAGGGTGAAAATTTTGAGTGTGGCAAAGGTATATTTTTCAAATAAGTAGCCAGGAAAATGTTAGTCCTCTAATTTCTCATCAGGGATACAGAGTTTGATGCCACTTGCTTCTCTGTGATCAAACGAATTGGGGGAGCATTTTTGTAACATTCTCTATGGTCTCCTCCTTTGCTCTCCTGAGCATAATGTTAAGAAGAGATGCTGTAGGAGACAACAAGCACATAAACTATTGATTATAAACACTGTTTCCTGCCATTCCCTTCCATATCACGACAGCTTAATTTCCCCCTTGTGACAGAAAGTAGGTTCCAGGTCTCAAAGTCTAACTGCATCCCTGTCCTCCTATTTGTAAGCAGGTCCTACTGGGGTCTCTTCTAAATGCTCTTGTCAAACTGAGGGCTGTTGGCTCTGCCCTGGGCTGTGGGCAGGTCTCCCGGGTGATCCAAGCCCTGGCACCAACAGCTTGAAGTTCTCTGCTTAGCCCTAGCCCCAAGTCATTTATCAGACACAATGTGATGAGCAAAATGCTGCCATTGGAGAAAGATGAACAAATTTGCCAAGGAAAGGAATGCAGTTCTGGGACCTCCTAGCTACAGGATTATGTAAATCATTCAACAAAAGTGAAGTCAAAGTTATGAAGGTCAATTTCCATTTGTAACACAGCTAATTAGTCTAAGGAAAATGGTGATGGGATATTCTACAAACTCCCGGGAGGTAGCCTGGGAAGGCTGGTGCAAAGGGAGAGTTTTTACTGTGCCTCTAAGGTGTTACATGCAGGCAGCGAATAGTTCTTGGTTTGTATCCGACATTATTCTAAGTGCTTGAGACTTATTAACTCACCCACGTGAGGTAATTAATTTTTATTATTCCCTTTTTACAATGAGGAAACTGAGGCACAGAGAAGTTAAATAATTTGTTCAACATTTAATGCTTGATTCTACAATACATGTAAGGAAACTGAAGTGTGGGAAAATATAGAGCTTGTTCAGTCAGCTGACGAGCAGGAATTCCCCCCTCACCATTGCATCTTTTCCTTGGGAGTGGATTCTAGCCTTTTTTTTTTTTTTACAGATGAAGCCTTCCTGCCAGGGATTAGGGAGAGACCTTGCAGCTGCTGCCTCTTGAAAGCCTGTAATTAGGGATGTCAGGACCTCAAATGGAGTCCCAGGAGAGGCTGAGTTATTTCTCATATTCCAAAGAGCCTAACATATATTGCTTGTTTAGGGACAATAAAACAATGTGGTTAATGAGTACATAAAAACGATTTTTTTTTGCATTTGTCAAAGATATATATGATGCTAATGTGCTAATGTAATAATGTAATTATTTTATGTGGGCCAGACACTTTTTATGGCAATTATGCATTCTTAATTTTTATAATAGGTATCTTCTACCTACAGTTTAAAATATTTTTTAATTGATTGATTTTAGAGAAAGAGAGAAAGACAAGGAGAGAGAGAGAGATTGAGGTTTGCTGTAGTACTCACTTATACATTCACTAGAGGCCCAGGGCATGAAATTCATGCCGGAGTTGGCTCTCTAGCAGTTGCCAGCTGCCGCTGAGGCCTCCCTTCCTGTGGTTGGCCCACCAGCCCCAACCGTGGTTGAAATCTTGGTGGAACTCCAGGTCCAATGGACAATTTGCATATTAGGCTTTTATTATATAGGATTGGTTGCTTCTTGTAAAGGCTCTGATCAGCAGTGGAACCCACAACCTTAGCATAGTGGAACAATGTTCTAACCAACTGAGCTACCTGGCCAGGGCTATATATCCTTCAGATAAATCCTTCTAAACATGGAATCTGGGATTTGGACTGAGTGCAAGATAGAGATGAACCTTGAAGATGAAAAATTTAGCACTTATCAGTGTTTCCCAAAGTGTGGTACGCGTACCCCCAAGGGTACGGGAAGAGTTTGATGGGGGTACGAGTTGCACCAGAGTTTGGTGGGGATATGCACTGCACCGGGCTTAGCTGCGCCTAATTCTACATTCTCATGAGTACAAGGGGTACTCAGCGTTACGAAAATTATAGAAGGGGTACACATTTATCAAAAGTTTGGGAAACACTGATAAAATGATGTGTTGGTTATGGTCAACAATTACAATATACTCAAATGGATATAACACTGGTTTTGAGAAACCCTGTTTAACATATAACAAATTGCTGTGTGTATTTGAGTATTTCTGGACTTTATATTTTGTTCCATTTGTCTATTTATATGCTAGTGTTATACTGTTTTCATGACTGGAGCTTTAATATCTATTAGGACTAGTCATCCCCAAATGCAATAGTAAGTCATCTGCTCCAACTCATGCTATATTAAAATGGCAGTTGATGAGAATTTATAATCCAGCCCCTATTTCAGTGGTAGGCCTGTTGACTTAGAAATATCAACAAGGAAAGGAAGCTGAAAGTGTGAAAGTGAATGTGGTTCCTACGGAAAGTAATAATAATAACACACACAATAGGAAAGTAAATAATAATATAAAAACCTGAGACCCAAGGAAGGTCCTAATATAGGAGGTCAGGGAAGGAAGAGAAACCAGCAAAGGAAAAAGGACCTCATTGTGGTGGGTGAAGGCTGCTTCTTCCTTGGAAACAGCCAGTCCTAGTTCTCTTTGACAAAGTCAGAAAGGCCAATGGTAGAGAAGGTTGTAGCATTTGCTGTGTGCATGCCATGGGAACTCACGATCTGAGATGTGGGAAGTATGTTGAGGAGGCTGTGTCTCATGCTGCTCTGGGCAGTTCGCAGGCCAGGACAGGCAGTAACCATGCACACTGAGGCTGCCCATGCACTGGCTTGTGTCTCTGAAGATGTGAGCGTCAACCTCACCACGTGTTTCCCAGAAAGGTAGATGGATATCCATTAATCTCATCCCTCTTTCCAGAAGACAGCACTAAATCTACATAAGGCTATGTCTTTACTGGGGATATGACTTCTACCTACCACAAGTGATTGCGGGAAAGACATCTAAAGTGTTTAGCAGGGGCAAATCATAATACCTTTTCCCCCCTCTGAAATTCACAGTCCTGTTGGACTCAGTCTAACCTTCACAGACTAGGGAATGATGCTCAGAGCCTGGATTCCGGAGTGGGTGGAGTGGCTGAACCCGGTTTACTGCGTTATGACCTCATTCCCTGGCAGACACCCTTAATAACCTTTGGCACGGCCTGTAACCTGCTCATCCCCAATTTCCTCCTCACAACCTGCAGGGAGCTCCCTGCACTTACTTCACAGGGATGTGGGGAAGATTCATTAGTTTCAGATGGGAAAGTTCTTTGAAGATGAGTCATATGGTGTAGTGAGTGTGGTCATGTGAGGCGGCACAGCCACAAATTGGGTAAATGTCTGCTGCCGAAACCCAGGCACCAAAGGGTCAATGGAAATCGTTCCGCCTCAGAGTCGGGGGAATGGACGTTGCAAACTAAATGAATGGGTGAAGTCAACCTCATTTAAGCATTTATTCAAAGATCACTTACCGAGTGTCTCTGCTGTACAAATGGTATCAGGGGGTTAACGAGGAGCGACATGCCCCAAGGAGCAGGCTCTCTGAGCTGCTGAAGAGGGAGGGGATAGCTCTGGATTGTGATCCATGGGCTTCATGTCATCTTTGCTGTCAGCCATGTGAGTGGGGCAGCAGTTACAGTGAGCCCACATCCTGTCTTACCCTGAGCAAGACGGATGTCGGGTCATGGCGCTGCCACCCTTTCCAAATCCC